GTCGGCATGGGTACGTCACGCGCGCGGGGGAAGGGAGATGGCAACGCGGAAAAGGTCGAAAACATTGATGTTTATATAAACATTGACTGTTTACATAAACATCAAATATTAATGATGCGTGCCGCCGCCGTCGCCGCAGATTCCATGCCTTCACCAAAAATGCATCACGGACAAAATATTTTAAAATATATAATAAAAATTCTTATCTTCTCCGCATCCTCCTCCCCCTTCACTCCATCCTCTGCTTCCCCCTCCCTATCCTCCTCTTCCACTTCCTCTGCTCGATCAGGGAACTAAGGAGATAAACTCCTAAGTTGAGTTCATTTATTGTATTAAACAATTATGATATTTCCTCCGCAGAGTATTCCAGGGGAGGATCCTCCAGGACTTCTCCGGCGGAGACGCTCTCCTCTTCCTCCTCTTGCTCTATCTTCTTTACTTTTTCCTCTTCCTCCTCTTCCTCGTAGGATGCTGGAAAAATTTCTGCAAACAATATGAAAAAAAACATGTAAAATTCGGTAAATGGCTTTATTGTTTTTCGAAATATTCGCCTTTAAGATCGATACATTTTTGCATACGCTCGAACCAATTTTCGAAGCATTTTTTCCACTCTAAGCCTGTAACCTCAGAAATCAGTGTACGAAATGTTTCAACAGTTGCTTCAGGCGACTCAAATCACTCACCACGCATCTTATTTTTAATGTTTGAGAACAAAAAGGAGTCATTAGGTGATAAATCAGGTGAATACAGACAATGAGTCATCAATTCGACATTATTACTGGATAAAAAATCAACGGTTTGACGTGCTGTGTGACAGCTGGCGTTGTCATGATGAAGGATGATGCGACGATTTCGGTTTGTTCTACGCAATTCATTTATGACTTCTAGCAAACAAATTATTGTATACCAATCAGTATTTACAGTCCTTCGATCCTCTAAAGCGGTTGTCACATGTCCGGTATAACCGAAGAAACAAGCAATCATTTGCTTGGCAGCACTGTGTGAACGAACAACTTTTGTTAGTTTCCGTTCATTTTGAAATACTCAAACAGTGGATTGTTGTTTACTTTCGGGCTCATACGAATAGATCCATGTTTCGTCCCCAGTAACGATGTTGTTGTAAACCAAATTTGACCGACCTCGCTTGAATTTCTTGAGCATTTCTTTGCTCCATTTAACATAAACCTGTTTTTGAGCTTCGGTCAAATTGTGTGGGATCCAACGACTGCAAAGTTTCCGTACGCTCAAGTGATCATGCAAAATCATATGTATTGCTTTTATGTCAATGCCTAAGGATGTCTGAATCTCGCGGTATGTTATATGCCGGTCTCATTCAATTATTTCACGCACAGCATCAACATTAGTGGCAACAACAGACGTGGATGGACGACCTTCACGGAATTCATCACTAAGAAAAGTACGTCCACGCTGGAATTCGGCAAACCAATTATAAACAGTCCTATTGGATGGTGCTTCATCCCCAAAAGCCAAATGAAGATCGATGTATTGTTTCGGAATTAGATTACATTTGTAATCGTAAAAAATCATTGCCCGAAAATTTTCACGCGAAATTTCCATTTTTTTACAAAATAACTTCTTTTAAAATACTATGCAAACAAAACTAGTTGGCTTGGGTAGAAATTGTCAATTGAATTATACAAGTAGGTTAAAAACGTCTAATTTACGGATATGATAGTATTATAGCAGAACATTGGCGCCACTGAAAGTACTAGATTGCAGAAACTTTTCCAGCAACCTATGTATCGCCCATCAATATACGGCTTTTAAACGTTGTTTCGATCTTGCGCCATGGATATCCAGCACTCACATGCATGAATTGTCCACGTACCGAATCCTTCGAATTCTCGAGCCTCGCGATACATGCGATCACTGATTGTTTATTACCTATCGACAATCGCGGGCATTTAACGACTCTGCTCTTCCAGAAATTCGAAAATTCGATGAAATCATTGCATCGCTGTACCCACGCGACATACTTTTCTCTGGTGTTCAGCTGAGTAACTTGTTTTATTAATCACGCTCCATATTGTCACTTATGTTATCTGATTGATTAAGAACGCGATGCGCTTAGATCTTTACATTTTATATCAATATTCACATTATTTGACAAACATCTGAGCTACACTGGCGTCGCGGGGAAGAGAAATCACGATGATGTCACTGGACGCTAAATCTAACAAAGCTTTCGTACATCTATGTCTCTTTGTAAAATTGCAACGTTGCATTTTATTGGATCACATTACATTGATGATGATGATGTCATCGGTCGGACATGTCGTAACACATTAAATGTTTTATGCGTGAAAAAAAAGAGATAGGAAAAGACGAGCAACGCATTGAGGGAATGATAGTATATGAGATAGCGCACACGGTTGGCATCAGCGCTGTCTAATACCCTAAAATAATGCATATTAAGGCATTTGATAGCCGGATGCTCTATATACAAAAGCAACTGCCTCTGAACTGACAACACCGATCTACCGTGGCGGCACTTTTGACTTGACTTTTTTTATATACAACGGCCGCCTGTAGATAAACTACGGGCCTCGTTACAGTGAAGGATGCTTCTCGGCGTCAGTCTTGTTCGAGCGCGCAAGGTGGTATGGTTTTTTGTATTATATTATAACATCTGTTTTTCTGTCGTTCAACTAGTGTACACTTTTAGAAATTAAAGTGAAATAGGTATTACACTCATTGAACACAGCGCCTTTGCGGTCACAGTATTAAGATGTTGAACTACTGTCTTAATATACATTCAATAAAATTGAATTAATATTTCAGACATAAATTGAGAGCCGATGAAATTATCGGGTTCACCCAATCAATCTGAAACAAATAAATCCCCCCAAATTCTGCCAAATCTTAAAAAACTGTAATAATTTATTGCGAAAAAATATTGCCTCGGCCGGGAGTCGAACCCGGATCTCTTGCATTCCGTGCGAGCGTCCTGAGCCTTTAGACTACCGAGACCTTAGCAACACTCTTCGCAATAATCGACATATATAGTGAGTTACGCATATTTTTTTCGCAATATTTTTTCGCAATAAATTATTACAGTTTTTTTAAGATTTGGCAGAATTTGGGGGGATTTATTTGTTTCAGATTGATTGGGTGAACCCGATAATTTCATCGGCTCTCAATTTATGTCTGAAATATTAATTCAATTTTATTGAATGTAT